AATACGTTTTCAATAATTATACTTTATATTAGGTTGGGGGAAAAGAAAAATGTTTATATCACAATGTGTCCCCCTCTGTACCGTGCAAGTTTTGTATATAACATTTTTTAATATTATTATAAGTAACGGAGATATTCAAGGTGGACATAGTTATTGCCCCATCCTGTATATCACTACAGCCATTTAGGTGAAAAATAATGGATTTCTTTTTCCTCAACCCAATATATAGAATCTACCAAACACCTGTGCTTTCTATCAAAGATTACCAAAAATTTTAACGTTCAAAATTTGGAAACATTGTAAAGAGCAACGCTAACAAATGTGGAGAAAATGTAAATAATATTTCGTCAGTCGAACGCTTTTTACAAAATATGAAGAACGAGCAATGTGAAATATCCCAGTTCGTTGTTAAATACATCGAAAGACGAAGAATAATAGAAGGAATTTGTTAAACTGAATTATACATTATATCATCTAAAACTATTTAATAAAATTAACATTTTAACGTATTAAACGAATGAGTAATCTCAAAGCTTTCGTAAACGAATTTAAATAACATTTTCATCGATGGTAGATGTTCAGGAATATTCACGGAAGCGCGTCGAACTTTTGTTCAGATACCTTCGAGCGCTAAAGATGCCGTGCAAGTATTAAGAACGATATCCATTACGAATACGTTCCCCGGTATTGTGCGTAACCATATATCCTGCTGATCAACAATCTCACGAAATTCGATATCTTGCAACAAAGATTTACCGATACTCTAAACCGTTGGTTTCTCGATCATCTTCCGTGCTACACGCAAGCGGATCTGTACGTCTTGAATTTACCTAACCCAAACACAATGAATTTCTGACTGGTGTCATGGCGAGGGTATAACTCCAATAAGTTTCGTGAGACATCGGTCATGCAAATACGCTATTTCCGAACGTAATTTTTGTGTTATTGGTGCAGCTGAAACGCGTGTCGAACGACAATCCACTGTTAGAATCTATTAACAACACGCTAGAAAATGAGGCGTACGGTAGAACTTCGATTTCTCGATTATTCGAGGCATCCATTATTCCGTCTATCAAAACGACGACGATCAGACTTTGAAAAACTTTATTTAATAACCTATACAACAAATAAAATTGAATTCTGCTGAAGATATTTGGCTATTTTAACCAATTTTTCCTATATTCGAATAGCAAAGTATTATTTAATAATATTTAAATGTTTTAGCATGTACCATATTCTTATTTACTCGTAAATACGTATCTTTTGCCAATTTTCAACACTTTTTTATGTCACTGCACCCTTCGTAGTTTTTATGTTCTATTAATATAATTGTAAAAATGAAGTTGTTTAAAAAATATTGACGCGGTGAAACGTATCATCGCGTCGGGTACTGGCTAGATTCCCGCGCGAACTACATTTTTAGTTCTTTTGGGGTGGTAAGGTACCAATTAACCTTCGTGGTACCTTCTTCCAGCCGTCACTCGCCAAACTAATCTTGAGTGACTAGTTACAAATTTGTGACCGTTGAGATCACCGATAGTTCGCTTTATGTCGCGTTTCTTTTTCTTTTTTTTATTGAAAGTTTATAGTCGCGTCAACTGTAAGGTTATTAGCGACTGTACTAAGAATTGCGAGACGTTAGGGGTAGGTGATTGGGTGCTGCGTTGCCAAGAGAGTCTTCATAGTTTGTCTAGTAATCCGATGGTGTTGCAATTTATCACTGCGTCTTGGTGTGATGACGATGTATTTCTATTTAAAAAGAGCGCAACAGGTCAGAGGCGTAATAAAAATAGCAATTGCAAAGCAATTTGCAAAGCAAAGAGTGCAAGTTATTTATACTATATATACACGTCGTACTAAAAATATACACCATTCCTAAAGGCTGCAAACTTTCCCAACCGTAGACAATGGTGGATTCAGAGGGGGAAATGTACGATAGGAATGATTAACCCCCTCTATAAGAATGAAATCTTATCAAAATATATTTATCACTCATTTTACTTTACATTCTACAAACGTTTCTTAGCATGAACTTGTATATGTATAGATATAATTAATCTATTTAAGTAATTAAAATATTAACAAAGAAATTAAAAACAAATTTCAAATCATGCAATACATGGTTTAAAACTATACTTTTAGATATTTTGCCCAAAGTATGCCCTTTGGATCTAAAAATCTCGTGGACGATTCACAAATTAAATAGATTATTCAGAACAAAGGGGGAAATGTACAATAGGAATGATTAACCCCCTCTATAAGAATGAAATCTTATCAAAATATATTTATCACTCATTTTACTTTACATTCTACAAACGTTTCTTAGCATGAACTTGTATATGTATAGATATAATTAATCTATTTAAGTAATTAAAATATTAACAAAGAAATTAAAAACAAATTTCAAATCATGCAATACATGGTTTAAAACTATACTTTTAGATATTTTGCCCCAAGTATGCCCTTTGGATCTAAAAATCACGTGGACGATTCACAAATTAAATAGATTATTCAGAACAAAGGTATCAAATATTTAACTTTTTCTTGCAAAAACCTGTATTTTAGAAAAGATAGAACAACGTCGGAAACTTCAAACAAAAGAGAAACTTGGAACTGCGCCTTACACAGTACAAACGTCACTACAGTGTGAAGATTTAACATTTGTTTCAAATACTGTTTCTGGCATCGTGCCAGTTAGAAAGAAGTACCATCCCATTTATAAAACTTCTTTCTACAAAATCTGTAATTTAAGAAGATAGAGTGAATTCGGAAATTTCGGGGAGGGATTAAAAGTTGGACGTAACACCTCTCGAAATAATACAACTCGTTTTCAATATTAAAATATAATCCTTTTCTAACGGTAGTATGCAACGGTAAAAATAATTCGTTTAATAAAGAAAGAAAGAAATCTTTAGAAAATCAAACTTTTAAATTGTTCGTCGATATGAGAATAGTTCCAAAAAATACATCAAACACATCAATGATACGAAGGAACGATCGTGGTGGTTGTGCCATCCCATTTATTAAACTTCTTTCTACAAAATCTGTAATTTAAGAAGATAGAGTGAATTCGGAAATTTCGGGGAGGGATTAAAAGTTGGACGTTACACCTTTCGAAATAATACAACACGTTTTCAATATTAAAATATAATCCTTTTCTAACGGTAATATGCAACGGTAAAAATAATTCGTTTAATAAAGAAAGAAAGAAATCTTTAGAAAATCAAACTTTTAAATTGTTCGTCGATATGAGAATAGTTCCAAAAAATACATCAAACTCATCAATGATACGAAGAAGCGATCGTGGTTGTGTGATTATTAAAGCACCAGACTATCTTTGTAATACGAGCTCTGATCAATACCTTACAATTAGGGTTGTCAGCATGTCGGCTTTAATCTTCAAAGCTCCTCTGGGAGCTTAATAACCCGATATCGAATCGTTGCAATACGGTTTCCTTCCTGGTTTAAACTGGATGATCGTCGTTAGCCTTGCTTCAAATTTCATAAATCAGGATGGAACCAAGGTTTGCCATGAGGTGATACCAATTAGCTCGGTGAAAAATATACAAGCGTGTAAAAATCTTTAAGGATGAAACGAATAATCGTAGTTGGCCGTAGAACTACGGAAGATACGACTTGTCCTGTATAAAAGCTCAAAATAAATTTACATCTCGAAAGAGACGCTAATTGTTCTTCGCGAGGTCTTGTTCTGCAAAGAGTACTGTTCAAACTAAACGGAATTAAATCTGCTCGCGTTGAGACGAGCCTCGCCAATTTAGACAGTAGTGAATAGACTACGTATAATACGGGCCTTTACTTCGTTGGATGTTTACACACGTTGAAATTTGCAATGACGTTCTATCTCTGTAAGCTCTTTACGCCGCGCCGGAGCTGTAGAAGCATTCATTTGAAGTTCGCCAATCGAACGAATTCAAAATAAAGAATAAAAGAACGAAGGAACAATGTTACCGTGTTCTCCCCTTTACACACACATTTCTTTTCGCGTTTTATGTAGATAAAAAACGAGATCTGCTTTTACAGATTTAATCAGTTTTAATAATTATTTTACAGTCTCGTGCCTTTCCAGCGTTCCTTGTAATCGAAAATGCCTTTAAACATAAGCAAATAATAATCACACATAGTTCATAAAAAATTTATTTCTTTTTAAATAAATTATAACCATGTTAGAAGCTTGTTTTTCAACATAAACAAATAATAAATTAAGTAAGTTATATTATGTTACTAAATTTTTTATTTAATATATTTAACACTTTGACTGTTTTCACTATGGAACTAAAACAATCAATTCTCATATTGAAATGTTAAAAGAAATAAAGAATAGGATTCATGAATTTTAGTGAGATTATGAAAATAAGTACTACGATAAATTTTTTATAATCGTCCAAAATCAAAGGTTTGGTCTCCGTAAACAATTTTACGGTTTTGGTGTCTCAGTCAACGCATTAAATATTATAAAATCGAAAACGACCACATAGAGTGTGTTTTCGAAAATAGTAGCACACTTTCCTATTATTTAGAACTGCTCTGTCTTAATATTTTATATATTAGGAGCATTAAAATATTTTTCAGTCATTTTATGTGCGAACGAAATATTTCATCAAGTAGAATCTTCGTTTGATTATATGCTCAATATCCAACGTACGACGTGAAACGAAAAATCATATATTTTAAAGCAACCCCTATTTTGCTAACGCGTGAAAAGATGAAGTATTTTTTAATATACTTGAAACATCTGTGCAGCGCAATATGGCGCTGCAGAGTTAGTGAGAATATGATGCCACGACTTTATTACTCGGCATTATCATTTCCAATCTTTATGTAATTGCTTTCTTTTTGAAAAAAGAAATCCCCATCTTGTAATTTCAATTTTACGACACGCTTATTCGATTTCTTTTTGCATTTGCATTCAAACTCGTTTGACTACGTTTAAGCACCAAACGTCGTAGTTTTACTATCCTATTAATGGTCGTATTTTCCAGTTCCAGGATGAACGCGACGACGACCTACCTTGGTGCAACGAGCACTTTAGCTGAAATTATGGGCCTCGAGTCACAGATAAGAATGGATAAAACGGAAAACGCTCTGGACAATGACCTTGATATTTCACCAGTCACCCTGTCGTCGGCGTGGTCCAGGGTAGCCAGACTCCTTTTGTTAGCGTCGATGGCCGTTGGTGGCAGTGTTGGTAACGTCTTCATGATCTCAGCAGTGGTGGTTGAAGATCAACTCAAGAAACGAGGTATATATGTCTACTCTCTTTACTTACTATTTAAAAATCAATATCACCTTTCTTTTGTAATTTCTGAATGTACAATCTTTCAAATAATGATTAGGTCGTTCCAAATATTCGTGCTGAGTTTTGTACAACTTAAAGCAATATTTTACACAACCAGGGTGTTCGACCAGCCCTGGAAAAAATTTTAATGGAAGATTCTAGAGGCCAAAATAAGACGAAAATCAAGAATACTAATTTGTTGATGGAGGCTTCGTTAAAAAGTTATTAACGTTTAAAGTTCCGCCAATACTGAATTTTTTTCTAGAAAGTGGGTGGAATTTTGGGGGTAGGTCTATTCACCAAAAATGATTGCAATTGACCCCCGCAAACGAAAATAATTTTTCCCGAATTATTTGAAATTTTTTTTCACCGAAAACTGTAGACATTGCCGATTTTTCTTAAAAATTTGTTTTTTATTTTTTATAATTTTCTTTGACGCTCTACAGAAAAGTTGTCTAATACCTTTTTGTAGGTACCCATGGGCTTTGCCTAAGAAAAGAATTTCATTGAGATACTTTTACTATTGTAGGAGATATGGCCTTTTGAAAATTGTACCAGTTTTAGGGGTTTTCTCTCACTTTACGGTGTTAAGGAACAACTTTTCGAATATTCTTTGAATTTCTGCATATTCTTCGTCAAAATACGCGTTGATTGCCGTTTGAAACATTGAAATCCTTCAATCGGTTCCAGAGTTATGATGTTTTAAAGATACGCATGTCGGGTGACATTTCTGACCTGAAATTACATTTTCGATAAGGAATTTTTTTCTCGAAACTGAGTAGAATTTCAGGGGTATGTGTATTCACCAAAAATGATTGTAATTGACCCCCGCAACCAAAAATAATTTTTACAAAATGATTTTAATTTTCGTCTTATTTTGGCCTCTAGAATCTCCCATTAAAATTTTTCCCAAGGGTGACTGAACACCCTGTATTAGGAGTTATGCGGTTCCTTTAATTTTAATATAATTTTTCTTATTTGCCGAGCGATATTTGTCAATAATTCATTATCGATAGGCGTTTTCTTGGAAAAACATCATAAAATTCCGAAAGAAGATCCAGTTGTTCCCGGCATAACAGTTATTCCATATCTATTCAAGAGATACGAAAGACGATCTTAGTTGCCCACTACGAACGTAAAAATAAAAGAGTCAAAGAGCATTTTCTGTTTTACTATCATCCTTTGTGACAGCGTATCCATGCGTAGGTGGATTTTTACACACGAATGCAAGTAAAAGGATCTTTCCGTGGGGAGGAACAAAAAGGGACGATTTTATAAAAGAACATCGAATGACAGTCTTTTGTAGGATTGGCGTGCTTTGTCAAAGATATTTCTCTGGCAATGGAAAGCTTCACATTTCACATTTCTCGAATAAATATTAAATGAAAGTCTTTTCGAAAGCTTTATACGAGTTTCTTCATACGTTTAAAATTACTATTTCTAGTTGTTACGACGCGAAATAACAATTACGATTTATTCTGGGTTGCAGCGTAACAGTAAATTCATAAAGCCAGCGGATGTAGAGTCAAACCTTTCGTACAATCAAGTTGTGCCTATAATCAAGTGCCATTAAGACGGCTATTTAATTATTAAATTCACTCGAATCTGCATGGCCCTCCAAATCCAGGCGTTCTATGACTTTACTACCTACAATAACATCGAAAACCGGTGCTAGACGAAGGAAAATTATTAAAAATAACCGTTACATGCCGCCTCCCACCGATCAACTTCGCCTCCAAACTGATTGGCCAGTATATTGGCAATTTTTGACCAATCTAAGACCGATGCTGCCTCCCATGGCCTTGGATACGCCCATGGCGAGGTTAGCTTCTTGGGCAACCTTGGCCCAGACACCAGATCAAAATTAACAGTTAAACACCACTCATCGATAGTATATTCGAGAGTTGTACATTTCGGCTATCCGACGTAGAATAAATTGTTATTGGATGTTAAGACTGGGAAAACAATAACTATAGCATGGATCCCATCCCACATGGATATCTACGGGAATGTTATGGCTGACCTTGAAGCAAAAGTTGCATCTACCCTGTATGCGGAAGGTCAACCCTTAATCAACACCTCCGGAGACGTCATCCTACACATTAAATCATTGTGGAAACAGGACTGGAGTCACATGTGGAGGAAATATGTATAAAGCGAGCCCACTCCATAGAGAAACCGACAATTTCTACGACCTGACAACAAATACAAAATTCAATAGGAAACAACAAGTGGCGATAACCCGAATCAGAACTGGACACACCAAATTAACTCACTCGCACCTCCTAAATAACAGTCAACCCAGGTTTTGTGAAACATGCAGCACACCCTTAACTGTTAACCACATCATCCTCGATTGCAGGAAGTACGATCAAGTCAGAAGAGGCCTGAAAATCATGGACAACATCACCGAGGCGACCACTTCACCCTTGTGCCAGAACGTACTACTATTATTCTGCAAAACCATCGAAATTCTAGACAATCTATGAAGACTGCGACACCACCCTCGCTAATCCTATAAATTTTCCTCCACAAGTTTCCAACCAAATAACTACCATAGACAGATAAATCGGGCCAATAATAGTCGCTAATAACCCCTGTTGTTGATACGACTATAAACTCGTGTAGGAAAGGAAAAAAACTATTCCACTGATTGTGATTCAAGTATTTACCTTCCGAATCCCACAAATATTCACTCGTCATTAACGTTGACGTGTGAAGTTGAGCACATCAGAAAGTTTCTTTCATCAAATTTCAATTATTTTGCTCATCCCCTCAACACCAGTGCTTCGATACAATTAAGAAGGGATGCATGCAACACTGTTACTGTAAATAAAAATCTAGAGGTATTTGTGAGAGAGATTCACGGCAGGTTATTGAACGTGCACCAAATAAAGAGCCTCGGGTTTCGTTATAACCGATTTATTATAAGAAAGTTTAAATTACAACGAGGCAACGCGAGATCGAGCAAACAACACGAACAAAGGAACAGATCAGACAGACAATTGAAATGAAGATGTGCCCGACACCGGGTGGCACGTTTAAAGCCCGTGTATCGTTTATTCTAACAGTATTTATCCCTGTGCATGCTTCAAGCAAGTACAAACTTTTTGATCAAACACCGTAACTCAAAGTTAACTAAAAACAATTACATCTTAGTGGTAGAAAATTCTGTCGTATATGCCTACGACATTATGTGTGTTTTGCTTCAATTTTTTGCAAATTCGCGCTGCATAGGAAATAGTAAAATATCTGTATACGTATGCGTAGTGTGGAGCAGCATGTAAGTAATTAAAAAAGTATTGCGTCACTATTCATGTCCCTTGTATCGCTGTTAAATAAAATCTATAGAGTAAAACCAGAAATTGGTATCCCGGTAGACAGCCTGGGAAATTCGAAAAACGCTTTCAGTCGTAAAATCGGGACTGAACGTATAAATCTTTCTCTCCAGTAAATCTGTTTCAACTGCACATTGCGTGAAACTTACTGAGTGATTTATAAAAGCGGCTTGATGAATTTAGGAGCGTTTAGTATTCACCAAAATTGACAACAATGTCCAGATTCACATTATAAATGTGTACAAACTGCGATGAATAAAGTATATGTAATCCCGTGCAACGAATAACTGAAAGTTGTTTTAAAATGAGAGGTGAATAAGCGAAACAAATAATATCCTGATAAAAAAATCTAATTTGAACCAAGCACTCTATTTTAGCTGTTTATTTTCATCAAGGTTTTTAATGGGCTCGCGTTAATTGGGTATCTTTTAAGTATTTTACTTTTTTTTTCATTAATTTCAATTTATTTTATTCGGACTAGATTTAAAAGTCGTTTAGAAATTTATATCTAATTGATAAAAATATTTTTTTCGACTAAAATTGTTTATTGAAGACAAAGTGCAAATTACACTGGTTGGGGCATATAACCTAGTCGACCAATTTACATCAAATTTTGTGTAGCCATATGGCACATCATTATGTACTTTTTTACATGATGGATTTATTATTGCAATAAAATAGGAAAAATTTCATGTTTGAAACTTGTGTTTTTTACATGACGAGGAACTTCTTTGAAATCGATCACGTCGGAAGTAGCATTTGTTAATATACTTTAAAAAAATAAGTTATTGTTTGCTTTCGTGTAAAAACCTGACCACATACACCTTCGAAGAACGGAAAAAGCTAAAGAGACATCATTTTCTGCATCTAACAAAAATAAGATTATTGTTGGTGTATTCAAAAATTTAAAATTATTCTGGAAAAATTATTTTCGGTTGCTGGGGTCAATTACAATCACTTTTGGTCAATAGATCTACCCCTGAAATCCCATCCACTTTCTAGAAAAAAAATTCAGTACTTGCGAAACTTTAAACGTTAATATCTTTTTAACGAAGCCTCCATCAACAAATTAGTATTCTTGATTTTCGTCTTATTTTTGCCTCTAGAATACCCCATTAAAATTTTCCACCGGGGTGACCGAACACCCTGAATATTCAACAAGATATTATACTATGGTGAATAAGAAGTAACCAGCAAATTCTATTTCGTTTGGCTGAATCTTTCATGGAAAACCTATGTGTTAATTAATATAATGACAAACTCCTATGACAAGTTCCTTCTAGCGTTCTTCGTAAAGTATTCGCAGAAATTACGGGTGAACGACTAAGGTGTGATTTCTCTTCGATAGTTGAATCACAGAAGCAAAGTTTTGGCAACCGGTTTGGCACATACGTGTCATACATTACGGTGATATCGTTAAAAGCTTCACACACACTTTTGGCAACTGCTGTCGCTCTATAGTCCATTTGATACTTGTATGTACTGTCGCATGTGCACTTTATCACTGAACAAATTTACTGTACCAAATCAAATAAGGAAATTCCTCATTTCCTAAATCGTATCACTACTTTATATCTCAAGATGGAAAAGATATTAATTCCCATATTAAATTAGTCATTTTTCTAT